CAGAAGAGCATCAGGCTGATGCTGTTAAAATATAAGGATGATTTTATGGTTTTGAGAACTGATAGGAAGCCCATGTGTACCATCTGGTGTAGTGGGGAAGAGAGAGACAGTGTCACAAGAGAACACTATTAATGTTGACGCGAACCGGATCTACAGAGGGTGTTGAAATTCATTCTGTTCACAAAGAGAAGCCACTAAAATTGTTCAATTCAAGAGTTTTCTCATTTTTCTTTTGTAATAGCTGATTTAAGAAGAATGTACTACAGGATGGGACTCAAGTTAAATGGAATCATAAAGTAAACTACAAGTGCTTGTTAATTCTGGTATTCCACTTTATGTATGAAAATAATTCCCACCCATTGATATTATCTTCATTAGATTAGATTGTAACCATTATGCACTGTTTGAAAAATATGGCCTTTGCTTACAAGCAACCTCCATCCCCTCAAAGGCATCTGACGCTGACTACAGGTTTTTAACTGGCAATAATTAAAGTGTCTAATTTTTCTGCTTTTTAGAAGAAATAGAGTTTCCTCAATAAATATGCTTGAATTTTAGAAAGCATAACAAGAAAATATGTTTTGTTGGTTTTACTTTTTCTTACAGCTTTGATGAAATGGCTAAATATGACCTTCCAGCCACAATCGACTTCATTGTACAGAAAACTGGACAAGAGAAGTTGCACTATGTTGGTCATTCTCAGGGCACCACTATTGGTAAGTAAAAGCACTGACTGGGTACAGTTTCTGTACCACTGCCCAGTAGCATAACCATTGCTATGCAACTTTATAAAATGTCATGTCCATGGCAATACAGCAACATAAGGACAATTAATCCTCATACCCTAGAGATGGATAAATGAAGCAGTGAGATAAATAACTCAGGAAAGTAGCATGAGCCTCTATGAATAGTCCAAAGTTATGATTCAGATACCAGTCCAGGTCACCTGACTCTCACAGCAGCATGTTCCAATTGTTTTTTTTTTTCTTTCATCATTTTTATGGAAACCAAATTATTTGTCCAAATAATATACCAAAGAAGATAAGTTAAAGTCTGTACCTTTATATTACTTATATGGAGGGGGACAGAAAAGTAACATTAAAAGTAAATGGAGTTCAACAAACCATGGTAATGTTATGGGAAATTATAACTCATGGAGGATTTTAGCGATTCTCAGAGGGCTTCTGAATTCATTTTCAACAGAAAAAATTCTGCAAACACTCTCTGAGTAGACACAGAAGAGTCATGTAATGACATAGAAGAGTCATATGGAAGGAAGTCTGTAAGAAAAGCTGATATATAAGGACATCAGGAACTCAGTTTGGGAACACTCTATGTCATCTATTAAAGATTTGGGTAAAGATGTCAAGGATTAGTAATAAACTATCTGAAGTTAAAGAAAGAACACTGGACTAAAAACACTC